AGCGCAGAGGTATTTAATATGAACTTTTTTCTGTACATACAGAAAGATTTTTTTATGATTTTCTTATTGAATAGATGCCTGATAACGGGGATCCTCCACAATTTGTACTGGTTGTCCACATGGCAGAGGATGAAAACAATGATGAAAGCATATCAAGCGGATGGGTGGTGTTGAGAAAACTGCAAGACTTTCAAGATCTTCACAGGAAATTACGTCAGTTATGTTCTAACGTTAAAAGCTTGGACTTGCCTTCGCAGCCTTTAAAGTTTTTCGGAAAATCTGACAAGAGCACTCTCGATAAAGCTAAGATGCAGATACAAAAATATTTGAATGTAGGTCCTTAAATGTGAATCTGGACTTTTATTAATACTGTTTGTTTTATTAATTCGTTTATTAATCCTTATAGTTTGTTTTGGAGGACGAGAGGCTTAATCAAAGCGAGGCATTATATACCTTTCTCAGTCCAAGCTCGGAGCATCTTAAAGCTGTGGTGGCACCATCTCCCAAGAAATCTCGCTTTTCTTTGTCCACGTTATTCAAAACGTACGCGTACATTAATTTCATCATATGATTATTGATCTATTTCCTGACTCTGTAAATCTTCATAACAGATCTGTCGGTAGCAACGAGCCACGCGACAAAGAAGATGAAGAGGATTATTCATTGTTACTGGACGATAGTGAATCGGGCCGTACTGGCACAGACACCTATCTAAATGCCAGCAAAGATGCGATCGCAGAGCCGTTGTATACACTTCTCGGAGAAGTTTTCGATTTAAGAGGAGTATTTCGTTGGCTCAGACGATCACTCATCACTTTCGTACAGATTACTTATGGACGTACCATAAATAGGTGAAATATCGCGTACACAAAACTTTATTTGTCTTATAAAACTTTTAAATACTTTTATACATATTTTATTTTATATAAATAACTTTTAATTTCTTAATTTTTGTAATTTAATTATAAGATAGAGATATTTAATAAGATACGTTAATGTATTACTGATTTGCAGACAAATCAGAGATACCGTTGCATGGGTGTTTTCCGAACCGATGCTTCATTATTACATACAGTTGTTTACGAGAGCGTGGTGGCCGAATGGGCAGCTCGTATCTGAGACCGTCCTTCGTACTGACGAGGAAAAGTTGAAAACGCGAGGCGAGGCACGTAGGCAATTTCTCAACAATGTACCTGAAGTATTAACAAATCTAGTAGGAGCACAAAGTGCTCAACGTGGCGCGATTAAAGTTTTCGACTCCCTGCAAAATGTGAATCTGAATAAGCAGCTATTTTACGTAAGTAAGTCGATTACTTTTGTGTCAGACGGTTATTGCTTGTAACTGTCTCTGTTTCATCGTCAAAGTGTATGTGTATAGATCCTTTTTGTATTTTTTTTTTCTTTTACAGGATATATTTGAAGTATTAATGTACGAAGTATTTCCAGAACTGCAGCATAAACAATGTTCCTTAACGAAATAAAGTATCAATGTGATATACAATGAATGTACAATCCTATTTCATTTCTTTTAGCGGATCTTATTGTACGTAATTTTTAAACGCAGTAAAATTATAAATTCAAAAGTAAATGGTTATTTGCGAATATGTCGCTAACATTGAGAAAGATACGTACACACTTCTAATATGGATAACGTATAATAACACGCCGCGTTGTATTAACAAACTTTCCTGAACATATTACTTCTTTACAATCGAAGTGATTTTGTAACAGACACAACAAATATATACATCATAATGTACATCTCGCAAAATCAGTTTGTAAGTTTGTTATGTTACATAACTATTATTACATATAATATAAGAAACGAGCAGCAACTTAAAGCACTTTACAGTTACCGCAAAATTGATATGAATATATCACTATATTTAAAAACGCTATTAAAAAATCTGCTTAAATGTTATAATATTCATATAATAATAATTAGAGATGAAACTTAGAGTATCAACAAGATTAATGTTATTAGGATAGAAATATTAACTTCATGTGTCTGTTTCTCATTAATTTTAATCTTTATATAAGGGTATAAAGTATAAACAATTGAGCGACATAATTTGTAGTTTCAACAGCATTACGATGTATCTCATGTTTCTATAATACATGTTTAATACATTTTAATAGCTTCTTGTGATAAAGAAATATTATACGTAAATAATATTAAGTATCTACACCTGTCGCTTTATAAAAAAAGATTAGGTACATATCCGAAGGAAGTAAACAGCTGGTTTAAAGTTTACTAAAATACTTTGGCTAGGTACATATAATATTTAACAATATATCACGTGAGAAAAATTGCCAGCGGTGTGGATCGGAAATAACCGTTCCAGAGCTTTTTCCGATAGATTTTGATCGTATTTAGGACTGTCCGATGAAATGATAAGCGCTTTGATCCGATGAAATACAATTTCTAATCAAATATTAACTGAACCACCATATCCGTTAAATTTTCTATCTGTTAAAATTTTATCGGATAAATTTACAACTTGATCGTACATTACATTTAAACGGATAAAAGGAAAATATTTTATCCGATCAAGTTTGATATCCATTCAAATACTACTATATCCGATCTAAAAATTTCCGATTAGATCCAGGAAAAATTATTCGATTAGTTTGAAAATATCCGACATGACAATGAAATAAGTGACGAGAGTGCATCGTAATCACGCAACCGTTACGCAGCACTAGCAGGTTTGCGCTAGTTCGTGACGTTCGGTCAATTCGGTCAATCGTATAAGATAAGTTATACTCGTATAAGTCGTATACACGTTATTAGTTGTGCGCTTGTATCATGTAATTGAACAAATTATCTGATAAAGTCGAATTTTTTCGATCATTTTTTTTTCGATTTAATTTCATGGATTACACGGTTTTATATACAGTGAAATACTCTCTTCGTTGCTTATATTTGATAGAAACTATATTAAATTTAATATATTAATTCCTATCAAGTATAAGGAGAGAGCCTTATTGTTTATTGTATATATAAAATCGTTTAATCCATGATATTTTTCGATCGAAAAATGATCGAAAAAAAGATTCGATTTTATCGGATAATTTGAGCGGACAATCCGCTCTCTTATTTAATGATAAATTTCCGATCAGAAATATATGCGTGTAGACAATCGATCGGAAAATTATATTATCGGATTATCCGTCTAAAAAATAATCGGATATTTTTTATCGGACATTCCAATCGATTTATTTCCGTTGAAGTTTGATCGGATTTTTTGTCCGATGAAAATGATCCGTTTCTTATATTTTGGAAGAATAATCCGTTTATTTTTATCGGAAAAAGCCTGGAAATTTTCAATAATTATTTATAGATTATATATATATATATAATCTATAATCTATAATTAATATACGCACATACATATTATTTAAAGAATTATACAACTAACAAGAAACGGATACAAAAGTAGAGCAAGTAAAAATAAAATGTAATGGACGTATATAAATCTTGATAAGAGCAATTACCATAAGTAATACCTTTATCATGCTATCATTTGGGTTCGCGCTCTTACAAATATCGATTTTACGGTAACTATATCGACAAAGTATAAATTCTGTAAATAGATATGTACTACTGACATTCGGATTCGAGAAATATGCTCGTATAATGATAGTATTGATAAACGTAGGGCGAATAAGCGACAGAGATACACATTAGATAGATAAACATACCAGTATGAATTTTCTTTTCACGACATTAAAACTAGCGATTGATATAATATTATAAAGAATTAACATATTCAAACGCAATGAGAATAGTAATTAATCGCGATTTCGTAGTCATATCTAAGGAAATATAAACGATCTATTTGCTTGTACTGTGCAATATTGCTAAAATTTTGGTAACGTGTTGACTAGATACAAGCAATTTCGAGGAATAGAAAGAGTATTCCCAAGTAATATAGGAACGGATGAAGTAGTAGTAGTAGTATATAGAAAACTTGACCTATCCAGAAAAATCAATTCACTATACAGTGATAATTTTTCTCTTTTTTCTATTTGCTACATAACTTGTTTATAATGTACTTTCTTTAACAATACTTAAAGACCAATCTAAAAATGTTAAAATGCAGGAAACTGTAAATATGTTTATAAACGGTACTTAGTATAAGTAATGAATATGTTTTTGTCTTTATACAGGGTTGCGTCTGTGTCCATTCGAATCACAGCATATCCAGATGGCAATAATGTTCTGTTGACTAGGCGAACCTTGTTCTTTATCACTTTTGCTGAAGTATAGAGGAGACTGTGATACCTATTAACTTCTTTTGATATACTTTTTTGATTTTTTTTCGAACATTTAATCTTTTTTCCTTTTTTTTAAATTTTAAATATATATTTGCAGAGATTAAGCAAAAATTTGTAGAAAATAGCACATCTTAATTCTCTTTTTTAATGATCATTCATTTTTGTCTAAAATTTATATCCACAGGGTTATCCTTAAGAATAATAATGTTTGCATGTATTATATTATATTTAGAAAACGTTCCTGACTGAGTGCTACCTACTTGTGGTTGTTCGAATATTGCATGATTGTGAGCGTAAAAATTTTGTGGGCATTCGTGAACATCATCATCAAGGTACAAAGATTTTTGAAGCAGATTATTCGAAGATAATCGTATGCAATCTTTCGAAAATAATCTTGAAATTTCATATTTGTATCTCTTTAGAAAATTGCTTTTTGTAATTGTATCTGCCTTCCGACATACATTCCAATAATATGGATAAATTATTTTATTTTTTTTTACAAATTTATAGATTAAATGTGGAAAATATTCTTTAAAGCATGCTATGCAAACACAGTGTCCTTGAGGACATATTTTTACATATACCAGAAATGCTAGTTCATCGAAAAATGATAAACTTTTATTTTCCCCTTTAATTACTTTTCCCTTACTAGAGATTGTATGTAAAAACATAGATAAATAATCCTCATCAAGTTCGTAAGCTAATGCAGCCTTTGTTCTTGAATATCCAAGCTCTAAAATGTCTTTAATTGCTATTTCGTATCTATTTAATTCAATACGGTTTTCTAAGTTTTCAGACTGCATTATAATAACCTATGAAAAAGAGGAAAAAAAAAATAAAAATACATTCAAAGGTACATGTCTCTTGAAATAGTTTCATAAATAAACTAATAATTAAAATTACAAAATCTCAGTCATCTAAACTTTTTTGTATATAAATTTTTTTAAGAAATTAGAAAAAAGTGTACTTAAAAACTAAAAGGAGATATAAATAGCAAAAAATACTTACGAAGTACTTAGTCTCGATAACGTATCTTTAAGGATGAAAATTAAATAAGTACAGGACATGTACTTAGATTGTAAACACGTAACGACTAAAGCAATATCATCAAGCAGCCAAATTTAAAGACTTTCATTAGTGTTGGGAAGATAAGTATCATATGCCAAGATACATGTCCCTAGGTGTCGTAGTCTCCTCTACACGTCTAGAAAAAACGTATTTGTTTTCTTCCTTTTACTTGGCAGTGAACTCGGGCCAATAATTTATATAATAACGTTGCGTTAATCCTTCGAATAATCTCTCGAGCCACATCGGTAATCCATCTAAAAGGTCTTGATATAACATGTTTCCACTCTATAAGAAACATTGTTGTTAATATGATAATTACTGAAAAGCAAGAACATTCTTAATTGTATTGTGGTGTACCTCGTCTTGATCGGATTCGTTGGAACTGTCAAAACCGATAAAAGCGCCTGTTTCCGGATCCTCCGATTTTTGGACAAGTTGCTTGGTCATCTTTTCCATACGCTATAATACAATACAATTGTTTTATTTTCAGATAACATAAACAACTTCAAGGAATTTAGATTATTTCGATACATACCTTAGAACCTTTACCTTTAGTACATTCTGGATGTTTGGCATGGTACATGCAGAAATATTTTCGATGTCCATTTAAGGACAAGACTGTGCCGACGCAGTTCTTGACATTTATGTTTAATTCTTTCTGGTCGGGTAAAACGAGAGATAACAGTTTCTTGTACCAATCAAGACCCCTTTCTAATGATAGATGTGCGAACATAAGCGTTTTATTCTTTCTGAGAATGAAAAATGATTTACGATAATACTCTCTCATATTGTCATATACATCGTTAATTTTCATATATGTCAAATTTCATATAATTTGCGGCATAGAATACCGATTAAAACAGGAAATGCTAATAAACAAAACGTACCTATAAGGCCACACAGCTTTATGAAAAGCTGGTAATAACTTTAATCGGCTTTGTGCGTCAACTAGCAGAACGATAGTTCGACATCCTGGTTTCAACAGCCGAACTAATCCATAGTATTTCTCCACGCGTAATTCGTGCAATCGTAGTTGCGGCTGTGATGGAAGCGGCTTGACATTGCCTTTGCACTGAACATGTTCAGACTGCACACTTGTTTCTTCTAGTTTACTAGATATAAAAAACAGAATGCACAAATTCATAAATATATATAAACACGTATATGATTTAAACTTATATAATACACAAAATACTATTTAGAGTAAAGTAACATAGATACTTAGGAATGAACAAAAGTAGAGAATAAGATTTTCTTTTTTTCTCTGTGGCGTAGTGCATAAGGAAATTTAGACAGAGTCAAATAGTGTTAGGTTTTCTTTTTGCAGGAAGAATGAGTGTGGTTAAGAAATTTATTGTAAACCAAGTCCCTTCTTGGCAGTTGTAATACTGAAGTAATAAAGATCTATCACAAAATACTATTTCTTCACAACATATCAATTTAATGTACATACTTAATGTACATACTTTAAGTAAATAGTAATCTATTATTTGACAAAATTATTTAATGATCTCTACTAAATCTTGAAATGGTAAAATATTCTGCAATATCAAAATTAAAAATCAGAATGTATTACTTTGCTAATTCTACTCACGCTAAGTATGACATTCCATATCCTGCAACTCCTATTAGCATGAGAGTAATTAGTACCGATATCAAAGACAATACTTGCTCTTTCGTCAGATTATCGGATATATAATCTACTGCTAATAATGCCCTTCCTATCAATCTGTCTACAGTACCCTAGAAAAGTATATTAAAGTATTAATATGGCATACTAAGGTCGCGTTCGAAAACTACCGGAGTATCTCTGAGTATCATTTTATCCTTGTTTAACATTCGGTGAACAAGTATAAAATAATATTCGGAGATACTCGGGTTTTTTTTAACACAGCTCAACAATTTTTGTAGATCAGGAAGAATATTATGGTCATTGTGGAAGTATACATACCTGTGCATGTTCATCTGCCAATTCTCCTATGACAGCAGAATATGGTAAAGCTTCGGTGGTACGTAACAGCCTTTGTATAGTTTTCTCTAAATGGTTACGCGTCTCGTTCCATATACGATCATCCTGAATGGCCTCAACCCATCCATGAGGAAGCCATTCATACTTCAAGTGATTGGCATCTCGTCTCCATATGATGACGATATGTAATAAGGGCTCCAGTGGACTGCCTTCACCGGCTGACAGTGCTGATACAAACTCAGGTTGCCTATCTTTGAATACATATGCATATCTGACACGTTCCGTGCTGTGAATATATTATTAAATAAAACATATAAGAAACATATATAGAAATTATTATCATATATATCTTTATAAAAAACTGTATTATACTTAAACTGGATAAATGTGACTATTAATAATTTTATAATCACATAATGTATTATAAAATAAAAATCTGTTTATTAGATAGACATTACCTGTAAGGTGACTCTAATGCCGCTTGTCTAAACTTATGCCTAGCCATATCATGCAGAGGACTATTTTGCTGCGATATCAAAACGGCGCACAATCGCTTCTGCGGCTTCAACCATTCAGATGGGCATATAGAATCTAACATAGCTTGATTTGAAAGTCTCGGTAATAAGAGAAACTTATTATTAGCAATAACATTATGCATGGTTTCACTGGAAATATCTTTCATACTAACAGACGCCATAGGTTTCTCAGAATTCTCGTTAAAAAGCAGTAAAGTATCTAATTCGCCTGAGATTTTGTATTTTGATGTTATGTTCTCAGTTTCTGGTATGCCAATCTAGAAAAAAATTTTTTTTGATAATTAAGTAATAATTTGAAACGTATTAACATTGATTATATGTATATCATAAAACATTTACCTGAACAAAGCCAAAAGCTACTCGATCTCTATAGTAAAAGGATGTAAGCAAATATCGCAAGCGAATAAAGTCTCTCTTCTCAAATATCAAAGCGCGTATTCGATTATCCGTCCAGCCTGATAGGAAATTTTCTACGTTGTTATTATTAACAATACTTATTAATTTATATGGTAGCCTATTTCGTACAAATTCTGCAAAAAAAACAAACGGATTTATAATATTAGTTCGCAATTTGAGAGTTTATAAAACGAAACAGCGAATAAGACAAAGTATACATTTTAAAAATAGCAAACATACCAACAACTTTTTGAATACTAAATACAGATTCCTTGTAGACACTAGTGCGCCCATCTATGATAACAACGAGACACGGAAGAGAGTGGATGCCGAGCCTTCTCGCCAAAGTGGACTCTTTCTTGGCGTGTGCTGTAACCAAACCAAGTCCCAGAGGTTCTAATTCGTCGACCAATCGTCTCCAAGTAGGCTCTGCTTGCAGACACATGTAGCACCAGTCGGAGTAAAATAAGATTAAATATGGCATACGGTAAGTCTTGGGCACTATCACATTCTCGAACGATCTGCAATTTACGAAGCATTTAATGTAATTTTCACAGCGACGACAAATCGTTGTGACACGTGCGAGAAATACATACCGATATGTGATGCTCATTTTATGGAACAACGTGATGTCTCTGCTTTGATAGTGAAATTTAAAATTACCGGTAAACAATTCTTCCAATGGATCGAGAACATTGAAGTGACTATTGTCCCTTCTTTGCCTAGACATACCTTCCTCCGTAATTCCATGATTATCAAACTTTCTTCTTCTCTCTGGATCTGTTAAAAGCTAAATAGTTCGTTATGATAAATTAATTTCCTCTCGCTACTGCTTCTCGTACATTTTAGATAAGACTTATAACTTACTTCATAAGCTTTTGTTATTTCTACAAATTTATCCTCGGCCATTGGATGATCAGTTTTATCCGGATGCCTAAAAAAAATTATGTTTAATGTATAAAAATGTTTTATATCTAGAAAGAGCATGTTTCTACCCAGATAGTCAAACCTGCCAAGAGCAATGTATTGCAAACTGTGAGTTGCATATTATGAGTGCAGTCTACTTTGTAACACTCATCATTTGTTCTTGTTTAACATTTGGAACAAAGATAAAATGATCAAATTGTGAGTGTCAAATAGAATGAATCTTCGTGCTACAAATGTTTCGAAAACATTTAACTGATCAATCAGAAAAAAGAATTTTACTAATTGATCAATCCAAAAATGTTTCAAGTCATAGCATTAAGTAGTAGACTTATGTTAGTAAAATTCTAGCAACAGTTTGAGAACAGTTAGCTGTTTTTCAATATTGGAAATGTATCAGAAAATCAGCAGATCCTGCATAACATAATCCTATAACATAACAGATCTATTCTTTATGATTGAACTAGCATACACTTGTACTTAAAATAAAATAGATATATATTTGAAATTTGGCAGAAGCAAGATGGAAAGTTTTAGTACAGTTATAGTCCAGTGCAGTGACAAAGAACAGGCCTCACAATGACGTAT